CATAAATGGTGCATCTGTTTTTGTAAATGGTGCCTCCAATTTTGTTTATGGTGCCTTCGTTTTCATAAATGGTGCCTCTGTTTTTGTAAATGGTGTCTCCAATTTTGTTTATGGTGCCTTCGTTTTCACATATGTTGCCTCTAAACTTGTTAATGGTGCCTCTTATTTTGTTAAACTGGTGCCTTTATCTTTGTATATGGTGCCCCTGTTGTCTTAAAAAATGCTGCCGCTGTTTTCGTAAATGGTGCTTCAAATATTCAGCAGTCTGGGAACGACTCTCTGGTGACTTAACCGAGGAAAACTGGGGCTCAGTGTCAAAATTGCGGACTCCTTAGCCTGTCTTCGCGGTCTTGTTACAGGAGAAATTGCAAACATTTGCAACAGTTTATAGAACTATAGAATACCAGTCTATTTAAAATGTTCAAAAACTACCAAGGCAAGCACCGTTTTTGCATGTTTCCATGAGGCTGTGTCAGAGTTTGGTCTACCATGCCGGGTACGCTCTGAAAATGCAGGGGCACCCAACGAGAATATAGTCCAAAACCACTTAAACATAGCATTGTTAAAGGTATTTTAGTATTTAAATGGTAGATATAGGCATATTTTTATCCCCTGAAAATTTTTCATCTGTTCGGATTTCCTAGCTGAAAGTCTAGTGATTCGAAAATTATAGGGATCAAAACTTACCTTTTCGAAAATTTCAGCCAGAAAAAAGGCTCCCGAAAATTCTAGGTGACCTTTTTGGGGTAAAAATCCGTTAAAAATAGGCAATTATAACATTTTTTAGATGTTCGAAAATCCTAGGAGAGGCAGGCAAGCAAGAAATTTTACAACAAATGTTTCGAAAATTCTAGATCTCAAATCGTCTTCCGAACAGATATTCTTCCGAAAATTGTCGTTGGGTGCCCCAGAAAATGTTGGAGTTTCCATGTTCATGCTTCAGTGACCACAGTGGATGCGGTTGTTCTACAGTTGTTCTACAGCAGCAAGAGGTGACACTAATAAATGACTGGTTTTACAGGGTTTCCAAATATGTTTTTTAACACTCACGAACTCGCGAAAGGTGAGTGGTTTTTGGAATTTATAAGTCACAAATTCATATTCTAGCTCTAGCATATTTGCAAGTGAGCATAAATTTCCTCCAGTTGCTGTTGAAGAATTTTGTGGCAAAAAATGCATGCATAGATTTATTCTTTCAAGAAAGAAAGTGGCTGTGTGTAGAACCTAATAAGTGCATTTTTATCTACATGTTTACATTGCACTTGGTAAACAAAGGGGGGAAGGGGGAGGGGGTCGGATCAGTGACGTCACACTTATTAACCTCCTATAAAAAAATACCACCAAAACCCATCCATGTTCCTACTATGTGGGTACTGTTAGTTTCTAATATTGTTGTAAAGAAACAGAAAATAAAATCAGTGAACTGTAACAGCAGGATTCATCACAATTTAATCAACAGTTTGATTCCAGGTCATTAGAAAAAAACTGAAACTAAATGGCAGTGCCTTTAATTGACTATAATTTTGTTATAATGTGAAAGACTATAAAGCAGTCAATATCTTCTTAAAAATGCACAAACCCGTGTTATAAAGAACTTTTCTTCGTTTAAACATCATAAATAATCTGGAACAGTTTACCTTTCAGTAACGTAAACAAAACTGTATATTTTTTAATCACTTACACAAAACTGTAATAATTTTAAAGTTGTACCATCCCTGCAACATGAAACTTAAACACCTTCAAAGAGCCCAGTCATTTGGCAGTGGGGTTGCAGAATGTTTTGAAGAGGAAGCCATACCAGCACTTATTGCATCCTTTGATTGCCAGAATTCTATTTCCAAGGGCTTTTGTTCTGGAAGGACACGCAACAGTGAAAATGAGAGTAGCAAAAACAGTGTTTTGTTTGAATAAATCCATTGTTGATTTTTTTCGTTTTTTTTTTGTTTGTCCTGCTAGACGTTTTGCCTATAAAGACTATGAGTGTGCAACAATTTTTTGTTGCATGCTTTTAGGAAATTCTTCACCACAGGAATACCATGTCCAGGATGAAAGCAGGGCACCTTTTTTCCCTCTTTTCCACAGTACAGTTGAAGGAAGAAACTGCAAGCAATAATTTTTTTTTCTGTTTTTCGTACGGCATCAGGATAGCTGGAAGTTGAAGTTATCTTTCAGATTCTCAAGATTGTTATGTAATAATGGAACAACCAGCTGCCCATGTACCTCTCCCCTTTTTTCCCATAAGTCAAATGTTTGGACCCCTGTTGGACTTATTACATCATATTCCTCTCAATGTGTATTAAAACATGCAAACATTAAATTTAAACTAATGATCCAACATGCCGTAAATGGATGTTAAATACTAGTGAATGCCTTCGGCCCTCGTGCTCAGTCTCCGACGGTTAAGAGGGCCAAGCGGCTCTGGGGACGAGAATGAGGAGTCCGCAATTTTGACACTGAGCCCCAGTTTTCCTCGGTTAAGTCACCAGAGAGTCGTTCCCAGACTGCTGAATATTTGAAGCACCATTTACGAAAACAGCGGCAGCATTTTTTAAGACAACAGGGGCACCATATACAAAGATAAAGGCACCAGTTTAACAAAATAAGAGGCACAAGTTTAGAGGCAACATATGTGAAAACGAAGGCACCATAAACAAAATTGGAGGCACCATTTACAAAAACAGAGGCACCATTTATGAAAACGAAGGCACCATAAACAAAATTGGAGGCACCATTTACAAAAACAGAGGCACCATTTATGAAAACGAAGGCACCATAAACAAAATTGGAGGCACCATTTACAAAAACAGAGGCACCATTTATGAAAACAGAGGCACCATTTATGAAAACGAAGGCACCATAAACAAAATTGGAGGCACCATTTACGAAAGTAATGATAGCTGAATTTTGGCGGTAATGGTACCCCATAGGCGAAATCCAGAAAACATGTTTTTTAACGAAGACGACTGTCATCCTTCTTCAACTTACATTCATTTACGAACATTCGCTGGTCATTACGGCTTCTTGAGGAGACCTGGCAGCACTTGTTTTCGTGAGTCATAAATTTATGTCTTCTTGTGTAATTTGTCTTGTTATCGCAACAAAAATATTCCTGCTTAGTCAGTCCGATTGTTCGGCGATAACAAAAGTGCATAATTTTTCGCTATTGAGCATACTTTATAATTAACTTGTTTTGTAAAGAATAAACAAACGTTAGAAACGGAGGACACTTTATGCAAACTGGATATTTTCCGACACAGACCAATTTCTGGTCTTTTCCCACTTAAATGTCTGTCTTCACGGTAGACTTTTCAACGAATCATCCAGGGTCTATTATTTGCGAAACATCTTCACCCCTTTTGGTGTTGGTTTGAGTGGCCAGAACGAAGCTAAATTTCCAAGAAAAAATCTAGAAAGTTTTTCATTATTACCGTCGATTTTAGGGCACATAGGGGAAGAGACGAAAAACACAGCTGAACACATCATCATGAAAAAATTAAGAATTTGTTCATGCTTAGCGTGCGTATATCGAGTTATGGATGCACGCGGGAAGTTTGGAGAGCACGAAAGATGCGTAAGAGTTGCACGAGGCGATAGCCGAGTGCAACTCTAGCTTCTTGAGTGCTCTCCAAACTTCCCAAGTGCATCCATAACTCGATATACGCACAGCTAAAAGCATGAGCAAATTCTTTTATAACATAGCTCACAAAAATGCATGCTTTTTGATTAACTGCAAAATTCTCTTAACGTGTGACACAATAACAAACGGTTCTATTGGCTGATTATGAACACGCCACAATCGTCTAGTTTGAATGAAAATATCCTTTCTGTAAAAGTGAGAAATAAAATTTGCTTCTTTATTCGTTAACGATCAATGGAAACTAAGCAGAAACAAAGGTAAAAGAGTCTTAAAGTTCACCTCAAGTTAAAACTAACATGTTCATAAGAAGTCGTGGAGTATGATTTGGATTTGCTGAAAAGATGTTTACGTTTTGCTCGGCGAAATCCAGAAAACATGTTTTTAGTGAAGACGACTGTCATCCTTCTTTAAACTTATATTCATTTACGAACATTGGCTGGTCATTACGGCTTCTTGAGGAGACCTGGCAGCAGTTGTTTTTGTGAGTAATAAATTTATGTGTTCTTGTGTAATTTGTGTTGTTATTGCGATAGAAATTTTCCTGCTTCAGTCGGATTGTCCGGAGATAACAAAAGTGCATAACCACAGGGGGCCCAGAATCACAACAGCATACTGGAAGCCAAATTATAAGGATTTGTATGGAAATTTATTTTTATTTTTCTTAATAGTTGAGAAACCAAAACATTAAAACTTGCTACAATGGCGTTTATAGGGCAGGAAACAGTAAGAAAACAACAAAGACACAACTTTTTATGACGTATGTATACTTTAATAGCTGTTTTTGTACATTTTAACCGTTTTATCGATCTTAAGATAAATTTCCATACAAATCCTTATAATTTGGCTTCCAGTATGCTGTTGTGTTTCTGGGCCTCCTGTGGCATAACAAATTTAAAAACAGCAATAAAAACGGAAATTTTGCCTTTAAATGTTGTTGATGACCAGTTGGTGTCTGTTCTGTTCCCAGTGAATGTCTTTCGGCCAAAATTTGCTGCAGCTGGTCTTCGACAAATTTGCGAACGGCGCGCAACTTGCGAGATCTTTTTTTTTTAAATTCGGCTTTATTTTTGCTGCTTGTTGGATCAGGACCTAAAAGGTCAATGCCGATAGAAAAATTGGGCAGTTCTTGGCTGGTTTCTTCCATATTCTAAAGAGAAGGAAAAGGGTACTACAGCTTAAAAGACGACAACTTTGCACCCAGGTAAAAAAAAATGCTCACGTCATCTTATTTACGCACGGGCGTGCGTAAATAAAGATTTTGTTCATAGCGGCTCAATAGGAGTTATATAGGGCAAGCACGCGCGCTATGTTATAAATCTTATTTACACACGGGCGTGAGTAAATAAAGAAATTGTTCATAGCGGCTCAATAGGACTTATATAGGGCAAGAAGCGCACTCATGATGTTATAAATAAGGATTCAGCCATGCTATCCATTAATCAAGGAAGATTTCTACTTTTAACATTTTTTCGTCAGTTTGCGGTTTTATATCTACATGGACAAAAGAAAGACTTTCTCTTGACAAATCTGTGTCTGAAGACGAATGACACTTTGCGCGTTTACAAAAACTATCCTATAGACAGGCTTTACCCGAAATTTCCTACTCCAAAAAAGGTATCGCTCCAAAACGGTGGCTTTGTAAACCGCAGGATTCTGAGATAATCGAAGGTTTCAAAAGACTTCTTGGAAGCAAGCTTCAACACAAGTTGTAGCGATTCGTCGGACGGTTGAAGAATTACATCTGTCATCCTTTGTGACAAAAATTCTGATACACTAGGTACAGTTGAAGTTCTGCGTATAGACTCTCGCCAAAAGTCAAGGTTGCGAACTTGAAAGCTCAGTTGTATGTACTTCGTGGCAACTACTTGCCAGTCACAGTTCAAAGTTGTATCGTAACTGTTCAAGACTGAGTTCATTTTTTTTAAATAACGTGGAAGTCTCCCATCCAAAGCCATGGACGATTTTACCTCATCCGAGTTTTCCATAACCAAATCCAAATTTTGTTTGTAGTTGCGATACAAATCATGAACTACAGGCTCTAGGGCAGGTCTATGGAATTGATAACACATGTCTATTGTTCCCAGTGGAGAGGGAGGTGGTCCGGTTTCACATGTCACCTCTGAATGAGGTCTCGTTGCTGCATGCAAAAGTTTTTTCAGTCTTTTTATCTCCTTGTCCAGGAAACGGATGAAAGAATTTCGGACATGAAGAAAGTTATATTTCAAGATCACCTGTTTGTCAAAAATGAGCATCACATATGAAAAATGACACAGTCCCGTCTTTATGTTAGACGGACATGCTTCGATAAATCTTGAACATTTGTCAACTTCGGTTTTGTAATTATTATGCACTCTATCTACTTCATCGGATGTTTTGAAAAGATCCATATTCCTCGAGTGATATTTCTGGCACTCGTCGCGCCCACAGTTTTGTTGAAGAGCAAGTATTTCCTCTCTTGTAAGCTCGAGAAATAGATGACTGGGGTTTATACCGAAAAAGATGTTAAAAATAAGAAAATATTCAGCCTCCATGGTAGGAAATTGAAGAGTCCCTCCATAACTTTTGATGACGTTACCAACTTTACACCATGAATTTTGTATCTGACATGAGTCACCACCAATGATCGTCGCCAAATATAAAGGAGTTATGCCGTCTTTGTTGGGGCAATTTACATCAATTCCGGTAACCTTGTTGCTGGAAAGCAAGTGTGCGACAAATTGCCACATTCCTCGAGAAGCTGCGATGTGATAAAGGGTAAGGTCAGAGCGCGTTGCATCGCATCCCACTTCAAACGATTCCATTTTCAAGAATGTGATTTAATAATGTCGATGCTGAGAGCGAAGCAAGTTCCACCTCTAAAGCTGTCAAGATACAAGGTCTTTCAAAATTAAGAAAGGGTCTATATTTCACAGCATGTAATACTGAAAGCCACAAAGGGGAAAAGCCATTGGCTGTTTCTAAGAAGGGGTTTGCACCCAGTGAAAGAAATTTCTGGATGGCAGGAAAGTTTGCACCTTGAGCGGCTCTGTGGAGAGCATTATAGCCCTCTTCATCGAAGCATTCGTCAATGACTTTTGTTCCATTTGGATGTGACAGAATGGCTTTAGTTAACAGCCCATCTCCGGTTCTTACAGATTCACTAGTTCTATTCCTTGGGTCATTTTGTTCCTCATAATTGTCCAGGAAATAGTCAAATATTGCATCCTTTAAATCCAAATATTTTTGCCAATTGTCAGTCCCAAGGAAAAATTCGTGGAGGTAATGCAGGTAATGTAATTTATGATATGAAATTAGATGAAACGCCGAGATTTCAAAAGGATCTCCGCAGATGATTTTAACTTCTACGTCATGTTTCACTAGGACTTTGGCCATATGCCGACCACCAGTTCGTAGATACATCAGTAGGGGGGTTATTCCTAAATCATCACGGCAGTTAACATCCAATGCACTAGCTTGTAACACAGTGTTGACTGTATGGACCAGCCGGAGCTTTACAAATTTTGTCAATGTAGAACAGTTTATGGTTGTCAATAATGATGTTAATGTTTTCGATATAACACTCTTAAAAGATATTGGTATTAAAGATGAATACTGATTCTTTAAAGGTAAATCTCGGGTTATTGCTGTTTGGTAACATGCGGTATCGTAAGCAAAAAGAAATGGAGTTAAAGACAACACCAACTGAAGACCTCTAATTTCACTGGTTCCTATCAGAAGAGACGAAGCGTTAGTTTTTTCTTCTAATATGCTGAAAACTGTTTGGTTTTTCTCATCTTTCATCTCCAAAAAGGGAGATAATCCCTCTCTTTCGGCTGCCGTGAAACTTCTGATAACCTCTACTAAGGTGTTTAACCAGGGATATGTTCGGTCCAATTTGTCCATTGTCTCACGATGAGAATTTCGCCTTGGATTTTCTATCCAGTCCTTCGGATTTCTAACATACAAATCTGTCAAGTAGTCAGTGATAGTTACATTGATATCTTTTACAAGGTAGTGTAACGCTGTCATCCCTTCGTAGTCAGTTGTTAGGGGATCACAACCCATATCAAACAACGGGTAGAAAACGCTCTTTCCAAAACAAGCTGCTGCACTGTGAAGTGGCGTAGAACCATTCAGGCTTCTTGAATTAATATCTGCCCCGTTCTTAACAAGCAGGACGACAAGTGCTGACATGTCTTGGCAGGAGGCGACATGAAGAGGAGTCGATCCGTTGCAGTCACCTGCATTGACGTCTGCTTTGTTCTCTATCAGCAATTGTGCAATAGTTTGATACCCATTCGAAGCAGCGATGTGTAGAGGAGTAAATCCACAGGAACAACCGATTCCCTCCAAGTTTCGCCTAATGTAGGGATGAATCGTCAATGGTGGTAATATTGCACTTTCGCATCCAACAGTAGGAGACGCCCCATATGCTAACAGCACCTTCAATGCGTTATATTTATTTAAATGTACAGCCTCGTGTTGTGGCAGTCTGCCTGCAGAATTTTTGCAGCTTATAGCACTTTGATCTAGGTCATTTAGCAGTAATCCAATAACCGAAAGATGTCCTTTCCTGACTGCCGCATGAAGAGCAGTTTCACGTAAATAAATATGAAGATTATCGTACTCGTAAAATTCTGAGGTTATGAATTTCTTGTACTCTTGGTTTGAGGTTATAAAAGGAGGACTGCTAGAGATGCAAGAATCTTTTACTCCTTCTCGCAATAGATACTGGACAATTTCTTTATGACCGCCAACGGCGGCATGATGTAAGCAGGTGCCATCCAAAACACCACCAGCCTCTTTGAGGGTCTCAACGGTCTTAAGATGCCCATAAGCTGCAGCTAACTGTATGGCAGTATTGTTGGCTCCCGTTGTCTTTGACAGACTCACGTTGTGTTGGACAAGAAATTGGACAACACTCACTCTGCCTTCTTGAGCCGCTGAATGCAGTAACGAATAACCACACTTTGTCCTTTTGCATTCACGAACGGGATCTTTGGAATAAGACGCAATACTGACGTCCAGGCAGCTAGTGGTATGGTCAAGATCGGCCCCTCTTTCGAAGAGAGCCTTGACAATATTTACATGTCCTGACGTTGCTGCTATAAAACAGGGCGTACGCCGATTATTATCCGGACAGTCAACATCTGAAAAGTGCTGTATTAAGAGCTTAGTGACCTCGACGGTATTAAGCCAGTCTGAACTATAGTGAAGTGCGGTTGTTTGAGTTAAAGGATCTGTGGTGTTTATGTGTTCCGAAGGAAGTGAAAGAAATTTTTTTTCAAGAGACTTGTTCAAACCACCTTCGACTATGTGACTTGTAAGATAGAGTGCTTCACGGGGTTTTAGTGGTGAATTATTTTCCGCTGCTTTCAAAAGATAGTAGCGAGCAAGTCGGTTATGCCCATTTTGCTTCTTAACGTAATAAAACTTCCCTTTGTTGATCTCGCTAGTCAGCCATTCAGATAGAGAAGAATGATGAATTCTGATGAGACCGTCCTCCGATCCATGCCACAAGAACAGAGAGACCTCGTCAAGTTTTGGCAGAAATTCGTATTCCAGGTCAAGACTAGGTTGGTCAAGTTGAAACAACGAGTACATTTCTTGAACTGTAAGAGGCGTATAGGCCGAAACCAAAACTTCGAATATTTGGCGGAGGGATTGAAAGGATTCCGGAGTACTATATTTCCTCTCAAAATACAACTGGTATGAACTTTCTAGTGTCTTAGGAAATGTCTCCCACTTGTCATTCTCTGTAGAAGTTAGCCAAAGGTCCAAGACAACCTTAACATACAAAAAGTTTCCTTGACCTTTTTCAGCTAAGGTCGAAACCATCTTTTGACTTGGATTGTCGTTGTCTAAGATTGCAAGAGATGTTTTCATTTTTTGTACCATGCTTTGGCTCAATGAAAACATTTTTAAGGACAAATATGTGTCAATGTCTTCACGATTTCTATCATCGTCTGATCGTAACTCCACGCTTTGGAATCCTCCTAGACCTGAAATAATGTTGCTTAAATTACGTGAACTGACTATAAGTTTCATCCACTTCGGAAGTCGATGGGCTTTAGATTTCAAAATGTTTACAATCTCTGCCTTGTCACTGACGCACTCATCCAAGGCATCGATTATGATATACCAAGGGTTGTTTGGTTGTGGGTGGAGGTTTTTCAAGGGCGTAAGAACTCCCAGTTCAAAACACCACTCAGGATCTTGGGAACAATCTCTCTGCAGCACTCTGCGGACAAACGAGTTTCTCAAGAGATATTCGTGGTAGCCACTAAGCTTCCAAGCGATCATATTTGCTAGATTTTGGACAAATTTTGCACCATCCTGTGTTGCTTTGTTGTAATGCATACAGAAATGATGTGCAAGAATTCTGTAGTGAACAGTTGGGCTGGATGTTGTGGAACAAAGCAAGTTACTTAGAAAAGCAGATTTTCCTGCGCCTGGATTTCCAATTATCAACGCACCACGATTGCGGCTGTTTTCTAAAATACCTTCCAGTTCGTTGTAGAGCCACCGACGTCCGATAAATTCCTTACTGGATGAGATGATGAAGTCACTGAAGTCAAAGTACTTTAACTCCCATGGATCACCATAGACCTGGATCGAACAGACTGTACAAAACAGGCGAACGTAAGTTTTTTACTGTTGATTTTTTCCTATATTGCTTGACTAAATTTAAGAACGGCATGGCGTTTGGAAGAACTAATACAGAAGCAGTATTTCATAATGTGCCCCCGCCTGCAGCTATTATCGACTTACAAAAACTTGATACTCTTCTCGCATTTCACTGCACAGCAAACTGCGATCCAGCTCCCTTGTTTTGACGAAAGGCTTTATTGTAATTGACCTGACGATAGGTACGAGCCTTGAATCGTTCAATGCTATCAGTTTTAGCTAATTATGGCTTTTACGCTGGCAGAGAATCCCGCATAAACTGCACATTTGTTTTTTCCAGTGTCCTATGAGCTATAAAATAACAGGCCGTTGCGGAAAATAACAATATTCTCTATATTGCAATTTGAGTAGTGCCACGAGTAAACCTGACAGTTACATTTTCTTTAGTTTTTTGCATGAGCTGCACGTCCAATAGCCAGGATTTTCACTGAAAAATACCACAGTAATCTATAATGCGCAGGCTGAGCTTCGCCGAAGCAGAATTAGTCTCGAAAGCTTGCGCTAGAACCGTTCTAGCTTTTCTGTAATAAAAAATCCCTACAACTTACTTCTGTTGTCAATGGTTAGCAATTCTGAACACACAGACGCAAGTCCTAAATTATTACAATATTTAACTAACGTTAGTACAACTTCGTTTGCGTGCAGATCAGTGCTTAGGAAAAGTTGCAAGTTTTTGAGAAGCTGATGCACTCCACTCGCAAATCGTACAAGGAACTAAAGATAATGCAGAAATGAGGTTTACATGAAGCACTAATCAAATGGAATTTTAAAGATATATAGCATTTTTTAACCTCACCTTTAATGTTTATGTTATTAATTCTAAAAATGTTACGTCTCTCAGACATTCCCGTGAGAAATGACCAGGTTAACCATAACCTTTGTTTTTTTTCTTTTTATAACCTATCCAAAAGAAGTACCATCCAGTCTGTCCGCATTCACCGAAAAACGTACCGTTTATCATAGAAACTGACATCTTAGCTCTACTGATCTTTATAAAATAACTAAGATAGTAGGCGTGTTCTGATTGGTTAAAAACCTATGGTGTATTGTGACGGTAAACCCATAGAAAACTGTTACAGTTATTTTATAAAAGCAATAAACAACACTTTCTATGGGTTTACCTGCGTGATAACCCACTTGGGATGTTGGGAGAACACTCAAACAGCTTGTAAAATCACTCGCCTTCTGCTCGTGATTTACAAGCTTTTCTCGTGTTCTTTCAACGTCCGGGGTGGGTTATCACGCCGGTAAATCCGTAGAAAGTGTTGTCTATTGCTTAAATTGACCATAAACTTACCTTCTCTATTGTATGAGTCATCCAAAGTAACATTACAGTGGAAAAGCAGCAACACCATTAGCCATGCAACTACGTTTTTTCTTCGGATACCTTTAACGCTTCCTGATAGTTTTCCCAAAATATAGCAAAACAAATTAAACGAAGTATTTAAGAAACTACGTTTCCAGTAGGTCGGGTCTACCAAAGCTTTCTTCAGCATCTTCTGTTGTTTTCGCAGCCTACTTTGCTCTTCTCTGTTCCTTTCAGACTCTTCTGCCAAGTTCGCCAATTCTGTGTTTATGTTTGAAAGATCCTTTCGAATCACTTCGTTCAAATCAGCTAAAACCTGGGCCTCCATACTGTGCAGGTCTGAAACTCCTTTAAGGTTGCGAATTTCCTTGAGAGCTTTCTGAATGTCAGGGTCGTGAGCTAACCCAGGATCACTAAGCAGATTTTCAATAGCATCAAACGCAATTTTCTTGTCTGCATCAGTCAATTCTTGTGAAGAAACATGTGCCCACTTGTTGTTCCTGATTTCACGTACCTCCTTAATCAAGTGCTGAGAAATGGTGAAGTGATTGCAGAAATACATCAGGTTTAGTAAACCGGTAATGTCCATGTCCTCAGCTTTCTTTATCACCAGATTTCCTCCCAAGTCAGGCAAGAAGAGCTTGGCTATTTCCCAGGGTCCAAGAAGGGGATCCAGCCATTTTGTAGTATCACTTTGCTTCCAGGTTGGTTTGTTTTTATGATGGTGACGCTCAAGAATATTAGCCCAAGCACATGTGCCCATGTCATGGTACTGATTTGGGCGTCGTCTTGAGACAAATACGCACTTACAGGGCCCATACACTGCAAGCCTTGCTTTCAAATTCTGATAGAAAGTTGCCATCTCCCGGTTAATAAATGGACGTAAACCAAGACAAAGTTCGGTTATCAGAGCATGTCCAAGAGCGAGCCAGTTTCTGTACTCTGGTTTGACGAGTTGGCCCACTGTTCCTGAAGAGCCTGAGGTTGCCATTCCTGTAACAATTTGAAGCACAGTAAACTGAAATCAGACACTCGCAACAACACGGTTTATGCACTGAGAAAAAAAACACGTATGGATCGCTGAGCATGATCATTCTGATCATTCATACTTGCATTGGCTTTGTTTTGTAATTGTTCCGTGATGTTTGACAAGGATCATGAACTTCTACCAAAAAATATTCATGGTTAATTTGCAGATCGATATAGAATTCAAACACAACGCTGCAAAAATTTGTCAACCGAAGTAAGACTTTTCTGTTGAGGCAAACGGTTAGGGGCACTCAAAGACCGAATGTTTCCGGAATGTTCTCAAACGGAGTCTCTTTTTTATAAGCGTGTTTAGTAAATTTGGAGCATCCCTAAAAACATTTATCTGTTCCGGATATCTCAGGGGTACTTTGGTCGTCTCGAAAGTTTTAGGTGGCTTTTAGCTTCCCTGATGAGTCCGGTCGAAAGTTCGAGGACATCAGAGTAGCCACACTTCCACCACCGGATAGGAGACGGTTTTGTCTCCTCAACGAAATCCAGTTTCAGGAGACCTGGTTTATGATAATCGCAATATCTTGATAGAGAAAAAGGAGAAAAACAAAACCTCCAAAAATCTTTCGTAAGTTAGTAGAAAACTCCGAAAATCTTTTTCGAAAGGAGACATTTTTCGCCTTTCTCGAGCTTTAGAAATTTCTAGGCAATATTTGCTCCGGTGAACAGTTTGTTTGCAGAAAAACGTCGTTGGGTGTTTCTTAACCCCTCTTGAGACAAATCGTAAAACTTCAGAGGTGCACTAAAACCGAATAACATAGTTATAAAGATGAGACACAAGAGTTGTTTTAAAATGTTGAACAGTCACGTCATTGAAAATCTTATAATTAAAAGTAAATTAAATCAATTTTCTTGAACAGTTTAGAAGCCAACATCAATCAACATCAGCCGGCGGTAAATCAGCCGACCGTGGCACGTCGCGTTATACACTAATGCCTATTTGTCTCCTTACGCTGGGCTCGGCGATTTTTAAAGAACATTTCAACCATATCCATTCCCCACTGAACACCATTGTTATGATGTTCACACGTAACAAGACCTTCGCCGTTTTCAAAGAGGGGCCGACAAAATCTCGCCGAACTTTAAAAAATGAGGGTCAGAAATAGCCTGCAGCCTTTTCAGTTTAAACGTTTCAAGAAGCCATCTTATATAGTCAAACCCTAGGTTTAAAGAAAATAAATAGTCCAAGATCTAACTATAGCAAGCAAAGTAGCTACGTCTATAGAATAGTGGTCTACAGACCCATGCAGTCAATAATATGTGCAAAGCTGCATCTGTAACGCATAATTGATCCTTGTTTGATAGTCTAATTTTCAGGATCAGCACAAAACAGTAACTGCAGAGTCACAATAACTGACACTCAAGCGCAATGTTTTTCGATTTGTTTGGGTTCAATAGTTTTATTTTAGGAAACTTTATTTAAGCTTATTAATATTTGAAGCTAGCTAGTAAATCCAGTACGTGTAGTTTAAAAATCAGCTATTTTTAGATCGCATTTCGCAGGACACCTCGTATTTCGATCATAGTACGAAATGGTCATTGATTAGAAGCAAATTCAACTTACCTTAATTGCCGAGATTTACCGAGTATCGCTGTTGACACTTTCGACCGATGAAACATTCGCTTGCAAACATACTACGTAAACCTTGTTTAGTCGAGCGTCAAAGCGAGGTTGGTTTCTTGGAAAATGACGTCATCCGACTTAAATACCAAGAAGCCAAGACTTGGAGGAACGTTTGCCCAAAAGATTCCATTTTGCGGTATTGTTTCGTTTAGCAAAGGGATTTGAGGTACGTTTTTGGTCCTTTTCACTTTAATGACTTAATTATTTCAGTCAGCGAGCATTTTACGTAAATCAGTTCTCTAGCAGAAAGGCCGGTAAGGACCGGGATCCTCCATTTATACATTAATATTTCCTGATTCGATCGGAGATGGACGATCGACGATTCGACAGCGATCTCACTTCGTTTATCAGGACCTGCCTTTTCTCACTGAGTGATCCGTTTTTAAGAAAATGTATGATCTTTTATTAAAGCTTATCTATGGTTTTCCGGTGGAAGGAAGTGTAAAATGCGTAATTGTTTTTCAGATATTATCCTCGTATTTACTAAAGAAATTTTGTACAAAACGTTCGTACTTAGAAGTATATCAGTTGAAGAATTGAAGGTTTGAGAATTGTGCAAGGCTTGGCAGTGGTTTCAATTTGCAAGTCCACTAACACTGCAATCCCCGAATTTCAGCCGGCCGCTTTCTAGAAACTTCTTCCGCCTGAATGCACATGGAAACGTTCTAGGTACAAGTTTGGTCAAGTTTGTCTGGTCGCTCACGAAGCTTTTATTGCACTATACCTCTACAGCAAAGGAATATGTAGAAGTATACTTAAGGCCCGGAAAGAATGTAAGTTTGAGTTAGATTGAGAAGATATATACGATTCCTGTCTTGACACAAACGCTTAGCTTCTCGGTTGGTTTCGGTCTTGTGTATAAATGAGGTTTACGTCTTACCACTGCTAAGGCCACGCGAGCTGACCTTACGGACAAAAAAGTTTTCAACTTTCAGTATAGCGGACTGTTAGTACATGTCACCAAATGAGTTGCTGGATCTAGATAAACGTCAATTTCCGCGCACTGTTTCATTTATTTTTACTGTTAAGGTGGGTGCGGATCGAAATAATTTCATCGCCAGCTTCTTGAAGTGTTGAGATAGCCTGCGACTCGCGCGTCTACTTTTCACGATATCCCCCAAATGGAGAACTTCCAGGCTAATCTCGAGATTAATTATTAAACATATTGCAGTGAACAGCGTGTTTAGTGCTAGAATTGTGGGACAGATGATCACTAATGTCCGCAAGATCTTTTGAAAGGGCTAAAGGTACTAAAACGTATTGTCGTGCTGGTACGAGGGTTTTGTTAGTCTTATGTTTCGGTTTGGTGATGATTAGATGCTATGTTCAAGAGGTCTGAGAAGCTCCAACAGAAGTAAACTTCAACCTGAATTTTTGAACCAATCGGCAAAGACCACGGTTACAATGACGTAAGTTAGAACTGATTGTCTCCGCTCTCTTTTGCAGGTTTTCGTCGACATGTTTCGATTTCGCTCAAGAACAAGGAGAGAATATCGCCGAACCATCGATCAAGAGAAAATAGTAGCAAAGACTTTTGTCAAGTTTTTGGAAGACAAAAATCGCAAAGAAGACATGTTTGTGCACGAACTCAAGCAAATATACCAAGGCGAGTTTTGTCTCTTGTACGAAACACTTGGTGTGTCATTTTCAAAGCTTCTAAACACTCTCACCTATCATCTAAACCTGTGCCAACAGCTTCAAGATCGCATTGTTTTTGGAGGCGGGGAAGCAGCCGCTCTTCAGCTATTAACAGTCGATGGATCCGAAGATCTCGACTCGAGTGGGGATGAAAACGATTCAGTTTTTACGGCCTTAACGCGTGGGCGATATCACTGCAATGTTTGTAAGCGAAGTTTGGGGAATCAAGTTGCTTACAGCAATCATATCTCAGGTGTGAAGCATCGCCAACAGAAAATCCTCAGAAAGATTCGAAAATCGTTGGAGAAGTAAGTACTGCACACTGCGCGTATTTTCGGTATCCGGTGCGGAATTCGGGAAGATGCAAAATATCATGACAGAACTTCGGGGTCTTTACTGCTTTGATTTTATTTTACCTTTATTTTACTGCACCTTTTTTAGTCGAAAGGGCAAATCATCTTATATTTATTAGTGTTTGTGAGCTTTTTTAATCAGCCAAAAACGAGATTTCGGGAAAGTGAAGGAGGCGGGATTTTCGTGAACAGGAAGCGGGAATGGGATACCCTCCCACCCTGATACTACCCATGATACCTTATTATGAATGAACAAGTGAATGAACCAACCAACCAAAGAATCAATGAGACTTTTAAGCGTTTCAGGACCCCTGTGTTTGTTAACAGAAAGTAACATTTAGATCTGCTGCCATTCCACCGAATTTTAATCAAAACAGTGGGAAAAAGAATGCAACGAAATAGTTGGAAAATGATTTGCGCGAAAACTTGCTGAAATGGGGCAGTTTCACCGTGTAAGGAACTTTGCCTGTTTATCATAGTGGGGATAAGTGATTGCAAATAGTATAGCCAATCATAGGACCTTTCTCGTTCGATTTCGGATTTATTTGCATGAGTGTGTATTTCAAAAGGTATCAAACGGGCGAATGCATTTTGAGCTTTCTAAAAAAGCACACGAGTACGAATAAATTCCAAATTGACCGAGAAAAGTCAAAACCCTCTCTGTTATACAAGGCCATGTCAAAGTTGCACGCGTGAGTTGCGTCGCCTGATTGCTTTTCATATAATTCTATTGTTTACAAGACAATCTAAGTGCTCCATTCTCTGAGATGTTTGCATTTGTTTCCGTCTTTGTTTTTCTATTATTTTCCTCGTTTTTGCACTCTGTTTACTAAAAATTGCATTGCTCTCAGCCAATCAGATTCAATAATATTTTTTGCATAAATTAGTCTTAATCGTGTTAGACTAGCCTGTGTGATGGCTACTTTGTGATGCAAACTAAGCCTCGACAACAGTAACAATATTTATTCGACTTGTCCAATACGAAGAGAATTACGTTACGAGTGATGTGGCATCATCGTTTTCTAACTTAAGTCAACAATGCTATCATTAGACTGTTAAGGAGAGTATGCCCCAGAGCCCCTTAAGTTGCACAGATGCTATCTGATCTCGAAAATGCCTATTGAATAATCTTTTTTTATCTCGTTAGGCCGGAACTTGTTTTCGACAAACATGGAATAAGAGTCACTTCTGATCCCCCTGGAGATGAAAATGGCGTCGTTGAGCTGAAAGTGGAGAGCGGAACGAGCGGACGGCAGATTGTGCTGATCATAGACAACACCAGTGATGAGACAATCATCTTGAATGACATTACTCTTTTATGGAGCGTCAATTTCTTTG